CAAACAGCCTTCTTATCATGACCATTCTGAAATTTAGGGCGTTTATTTCCTGTCAGGCATCACCCGCAAGGCCGGCTTGCTCGATTTATGAGATACATGTACTGATTAAGGATAAGGATATAGGTTTCTTGGCAATAGTAGTTTAAGTAGTGCACCTCATATACCCTAAATCCCAACATCTTGTCTTAAGCAACGGTGGTTATAGGGGGTTTTATAAGTGAAGAATTAGGGTAGGCAGTGGGATATACTTTAATAAATGTAATGTTCATTTTATTTTATTGTATTTCAAAATGTCGTTGCTTTATGACTTTAGCTTTTCCTAATCTGCATTATCATTTAACGTATTGCGGAAAAATCTGATTATCAAAATGCAGTTTTCTTAGAATTCATTTAAGAAAGAAATTTTGGTTAGGAGGTCTTATACTTAAACTTACCTGAAGTTCAATTTGCCGTTGTTGAGTTAGATTAGTATAGTCCGCGGCGCAAAGCGCCGCGCACACCTTCAATTTACATGTGGAAAAACTTACTCTCAGAAGCCGCGGGAAACAAATTCACCTACATTTTTCTTTTTTGCACTTCTACAAATTTCTTCCACTGCCTATCCTATTTATCCACTCCCAAAGCCCCTATAACCAACTTTTCCGTGAGACATTACGCTGGAACTAGGATTATATACGGTGCACCACTTAAACTACTTTTGCCGGTTTCTGTTATAAACAGACAGACAAAGGACAAATCGAAGCGAATCAATTTGTGATTGGTTTCCTCACTGCCAAAAATTCGCATGAAAGATAAATTTCTAAGCAAAGTCCGAAGCAAAACGCGTATGGAAGCAATGACTTTAGAGGGTCGATGAATTGAAAATTCCCTGGGATGAACAGGTTCATACATTCAGCAAAACATGCAATGGAAATAAAGTGAAGGATTGGCACCTAGATAATGGCACGTATAGACCGACGGCACTCTCAACTTTTCTGGAATTTGGTCATGGCCTTTCAGACAGTCACGATTGGTAGTATAAAAAATGCAACCCTTCGAATAATCTAGCTTACGAAATTATTGTAACAAACTGCCAATAGACAATGCATTAACATTTCCACCAATAAATTTAAAAAAATTAATTTTTCTATCGGTGAAAGATCGTTGAGCTGATTCAATTTCTAGGGCAGTTAAAATTAGAGTGTGCGTGTAAGCGTTTTTGACAGGGGTGTTTCTTTTATGGTAAAATGGTATGCACTGTATTGGATCGCTCTGTCGGACCTTGTGTTATTTGAATAGAAACCTGAACTGTCTTTTACTAACTTCTCTAGATGTACCACGAAATTTAAAGCTTCTCTAATCTAATTTAGGGTGCCTTATCCGTGATCATAATTTAGGGGAAGATTAAGCCGAACGTAAACTTCCCAAAACCTCAGTACCATCATTCAGGGTTCCACGTCAGACGGTTCCTTAGACTGCTCCAGTGCTTCTGCAAACGGTTAAGTGGCCCTTCTACAGAAACTCTAACACGCTATTATGCGACTTCTTAAACATACTTTTGAGAACGAAGAGTAATGGAGTAATTGATCTGAAACCTTGAAAATGGCCTTCTGAGAAGAGGAGAGACCACATGCCGGGACAGAAAACGTAACGCACGTGCGCACGCTTCACAGGTAAGTGGTGATACTGTACATAATTATTATTAAGTTTGCACAGTGAACATCTTTCCTGTATTCGTTTTGGGCGTTTATTTGTGCATTGTAAGTTGTGCCGATTTTGTGTCCCCAGCTCAAAGAAACCAGCTAGCGGGGGTATGCGCTTGCTAGAACTTACGTCGACCTCTTACAATGGGCGCTAGCTAAGTCTTACTTTGTTTGACCGATAGTTCAACTGTCTACTTCGCAACGAGGGTGGAACTTCATATGAAAAATCTGTACTAGCGGCTTAGACGTTTAGTTATTTACTTGCAGATAGGCTATCAGTCAGAAGCTCCAAAAACTTTATTTAGTAGACTTCGGGCATCGCTTATCCAAGACATTTTTTTGCTTTCTGAAGGTTTTTCTGACATATATCATTCCCTCAGAATTTCTGTTTTCGTAGATGGCTGCGTTGGTTGAGCTGAAAGGGTGATTTCCACTCTTCTAAAAGACGTCCTCAAACGTCCGGGTAGGACTTCGCTGGCTGTCATGAAGAATAGCAATTACCCTGTCAACTTCGAGGCCGCCGATTTAGATGGGGCTGATTGTAGTTATTCATGCCCAGCCCACAAAATCGCTTCTGAATTTTACCCTCCTATTATAACCGTGCAGACTGGATGATAGGACAGGGCACTGTTTTCCTGCGCGAACGCAGAACTCCCTAAGAAAAAATCAACGCATGTCTTTTCAGAACTGCCTTGGGCGAGTCCTTCTTTTCAAGTTCAAGTCACACCACAGTATACAGAACGCGCCCTTCTCGGTCGAATCTGGTTTTAGGAACTAATTGTCTGACCACTTTCCCACTGAATAAATGCGAACGGATCAACCGACCGCCGTCTGTCGTTGAGTTCTTAATAAGGTAGCGTTCTCTACACAAAGCCAGAAGTTCAGCCTTCAAAACTGACACCCAGAACTTAAATGCAGATGTCCCTTCCCAACGTCTTTAGCGATCACTTTACAACGTTACTCCGTCTGATCTAGTACGAAACGCGACTTATGAGTTCTTCGCAACTAAGCGTTACGGCGTAATTGGTAATAGTGGTACACGAATACCATGTTTTCTGCAAGGTTCTCTGTGTATTTTTCCGCGAAATTGCTTAAAAACTGACAAGTAGCGGTTGTCCGAGGCATAGAACAGACCGCCCGTATGCATGCCTCACTTCTGGCTGATCAACGGGAATAAATATTGAATATTTTCGTGGACCACATTTTAATCCGACGAATTTTCATTTTTACCGACACTAACAGCTGTCTCCCTAATCAAAAATTATTAAATCCATCGCGCCAACTTTCTTCAGGTCTGATTACTTTTTTCAAGCAGACGCAACAGATAGGACTTTTTTATCCGGAATAATAGTAGTATCAGTCTGCCATTATTTCAGTAATTTCCACCATCAAATAATTAGCGTTGAAACACCACCTCAACATCCAGCAAATCGAGGCTAGGGACTCGAAGTCCTGTCCTCTTGATGGTACTTTTCGACAGGTAATTTTGGCCATTTTTACCGACTATCGTTTCAAGTTAACCGGCAACAATAAGAATTGATAAGCGATACGAAACTCGGCTGGCACTAGTCTCAGAAACTGGCCAATTGTGATTAACTCCTACGCAGTAAAAAGCAGTTGACTGTGAGAACCCGTTCAGTCTGTCCATATATGTAGTGACATAAACGATACAATACATTTCCCTCCTCTGACATCAGAGTATTCACAGCCAAAACCTTAGTGTTCCTTCGGAGAAAAGGTTGGGTTCTGCTCAGCCAATCTTAGGTATTTAGTTTTGGTCAGTGTTTATTGCATAGGCATCGAAAGTCTTTGAAGTCGCTCTTTCATAATACAATGCAGATAAAAGGCGGCAACGCCCAGGTTTTGTCCGGTTAAACCCTTCAAACACATGAAAACTGCATCGACATTAAAGACAAAGTTATGACATCCCAGCACCTCATGCTGAAAGCGTATAACGCACTGGAAGTTGCTAC